TACTCAGCTCCCCTGTCCTGTTACTCAGCTCCCCTGTCCTGTTACTCAGCTCCCCAGTCCTGTTACTCGATTCCCCTGTCCTGTTACTCGGCTCCCCTGTCCAGTTACTCGGCTCCCCTGTCCAGTTACTCAGCTTCCCTGTCCTGTTACTTGAGTCCCCTGTCCTGTTACTTGAGTCCCCTGTCCTGTTACTCAGCTCCCCTGTCCTGTTACTCAGCTCCCCTGTCCTGTTACTCAGCTCCCCTGTCCTGTTACTTGAGTCCCCTGTCCTGTTACTCGAGTCCCCTGTCCTGTTACCCCTGTCCTGTTACTCAGCTCCCCTGTCCTGTTAGTCAGCTCCCCTGTCCTGTTACTCAACTCCCCTGTCCTGTTACTCGATTCCCCTGTCCTGTTACTCGATTCCCCTGTCCTGTAACTTGATTCCCCTGTCCTGTTACTCAGCTCCCCTGTCCTGTGCCACGGAGCAGTGCCAGGTTTTGGCAAAACGTCCTGGGCAGTTGAACTTGCCCATTTAAATGCAGTGCTCATTCCCATCAGGCTTCATGCTTCGTGGAGCTGCTGTGCCTCCTTTCATGTCAAATGATTTTCACTACAGAAGGAAAATTCCTGCTTATTTTCTACCACCATGCATGCTAACCACTGTAGAATTACACATTACACTTTAAAGATGGAGAACGTTTTTGGACTTAAAATATACCTTTGGAGTTCAAAGACAAGGAAAATAAATTGCATTTCAAACCTTTTTTTTAAATTGGTTGCAGAAATGCAGTGATAGAGTAAGAGGTTTAATTCAAAGTCTTTACAAAAGGTTTTCTCCTCAAGGGAAGTTCTTGTCTGGCAACCTAATTCATTAGTGTATTTTAACTTTGAAAACCTACACAGGGTAGAAACAGAAGAAAAGTTTCAGAATTACTCCTTCAGACCTCTGACTGTGTGGTGTGTGTTGTAATGTCTTTATCAGCTGTGTGTGAGGTGCTGCATAGCTAATCCACCTAGGATCCAGAATCCACAGCACATCATTAGCAGGACTGGTACACTGTACTGTATGTGCTAACTGACCTAGAAAATAAATTCCATGATACTTTGCTGACAAAAGGAGAATAGCACAAGACACTCAAGATAATAATTTTCACGTTTCTTCTGGTTGTTTGCTCTTCACCTGAGCATCCAGGCTCATTTTATGTTTGTTTTTCAGAACATAGTCGGGCTCTTGAATTCTGAATCACTGCATCACTCTGATTCAGAGCTGCCTCACTCTCCCTGGCAGACAAGCTACAGCATGAATGCTGTCTCGGGGGGAGACAGGTCACACTTTGAAAACATGCTTGTAAAACTACTGCATCCCCTGGTGAGCAACACACAGCAAAGGCCTCTGCAGAAAGCGCAAGAAGTCAGATTTTATTTGCTCTTACTTATTCTCTGAAGTCGTTAACATTCTCAACTCACAAAGGGGGGGCTTGTCTTGTTTGAGAAGGAGGTATGGGTCTTAGGTTGATTCCCACATTATCATCAACAAATTATGATGTTGCCTAACAGCTCTGTACTCTGATCAGCAGACCTGAAACAGCTACTGTCTGACTTTCCAATAAGCACCGAGGGGAAGAGAAATCAATCACATGTGTATTAGAACTGGCCAGACTGCTGTCAGTGTTGAAGCTACAGATGTGCAGGGCATGATGATGCCAAGTGGCCTATAGAATGCTTAGCCACAGAAAAATCAAGGAATATACAAGGTCTACCAAGATCTATTTTTTACACCTTGAAGCCATTGTTATACAAATCTTACAGTTGGATGTAATTAAGCAAAATAACTTTTTTCTAGAATCATGAAAATCACTACTCTTTTTTAAAATATAGAGTATGCATGTAACCACTTTTCATTTTCACTGTTCTTAAGTACATGCTGTAGATCAGAGGATAATAATACTGTATATTACACACATTAAGGAAGATTTAAAAAATGCTTTATTAAAAGTGGGTACCTGTATAGTAGTTTCTGCATGCCCAGATTTATAGTATCTCAATGGGATACAGGTCTAAGGACCGAGATGGCCAGTTTATGACTGGGATCTTCCCCTTTGCAGAAACTCCTTTGTAGTCTTTATAAAATGCTTACTGTCTTATCCTGTTGGGATAGAACCTTCAAGTCTTCTCTCTGTCTTCTGTCTTCTCTCGATTCTTTTGTCAAATCTCTTGCAGTACTTTCTGCAGTACTTACTCCAAGGAACGATTGCTTGAAACGTGCTTAGTTTCCACCCCTGGAAGCAGCTGCAGCAGTTCCTTGTTTGTCAATAAAAGCCCACACAAGACTTTCCGGTAAACTGAGCTATGCTGCTGTTTTGTCTGGGTTTCTCCTTTGCCATTTTCACTGCTGCATCAGCACAGATTTCTACTATATTTTTCAGCACTTGATAATTACATATTCATTCTTTTTCAACCATTTGTCCAGAAAACCAATTCTTTGGCTTACACTTTCTGACTGTACAGTCAGAGAAACAAACAATTCTCTGCAGTAAGCAGCTCCCCAGTATCTTCATTTTATTACCATCAGGACTCTAAATTCCAAGCTCTATTGGTGACGTACAAGTTCCAGTGTGCCAAAAACTTAACTTTCTACCACAAAGTAAAGGCTAGAAAGCACTCACTCCCATTCTGTCAGACCCTCTAACCTCTCTTTCACTATAACCCTGCTCAGCAAAGGACCGGGTTTTGTACCAGTTCCTAAGACACTGGATACCTCACAGACCCAGAGTGAGTTCCACCATTTTTACTGCAGAATTCGCCTCAGAGCACATTTCTCTAATGAGACCCTCTCATGAACAGCTGTCAACAACCTAGAAATTGACACTAATAACAAAATTCACATGAAACTGAGCTGTTGGACTCCAGCTGCTTCATCAATCTTTACTTCCAAACTGTTTTCTACCTTCACCAATCACAAGTTTGACCTCACTTCACCCAGGATGAACTCCAATCTCACTACTACACTCCTGTGTTCTCCTGTGCTTTATATCCCTGCTACTGTCCTCTCTCTCCCTCTCACCTAAAGAACTTAATTGTCTAATCATGTAACATGTCTAACCCTACTTTTCAGAGTGGAATTAACCTTTACTTGTTCCTTTGCTACCAACACACACTCCCCATTTGAAGTATCTTTTTAATCTATAACTATTGTTAAGTGATGCTTTTTAGCCAAGATAGCTATCAGTAATAAGCAATGAATGAGGTTTTTTAACCTGCCCAAAGACCATTATCTACTTATTGACAGAATAACATGAATAGAGCTGTTTCATTATGGAATATGATGGAATTACAGCAAGGAAGAGGTGGACAGTGAACTACATATTGAGTTGGTTTACTGATAGGAAATTCTCATGTGCTTATCTAGTAACTTGAAGCTTAAAATCAAAGAGATAAAAGGAATCCCCTTATGAAATAACCTATAAATTATGTCCCTGGTCTCTACAGAGACCTGTCAGTCATCTAACTTCATAAAGATCTGGAAGAGCTCCAAGCAGTTTACTTTGTCTTTGCAGGCAGAACCTTATGGACTCAAACAGCTGTCATGCTGAACTGTTTCTTACTCTCACACTCTGATGAGACTGCAGTGATGCTGTCACTGTGCCCCCCCCCCACCGCCATTGACATCTTCTTCTCAGGGACGAATAACTATTGGACTTCAAGTATGACAACTTCTGCTGGTAGGTATAACTGCAGCTAAACAGCAGGGTCAGGAGGAAACCAAGGCATCCTTAGATTTCATTCGTCTGTTTCCGTTACAGAAACTGCTCTTGCGGAAAGAGGTACAGAAAGATTAGATTATGCCAGAGCGCAAAACTGTTCCACAGAACAGTCAGGCGCACTTTCAGCTCTTTAATCAGATTCCTTTTCCTTCCGTTTGAGCTCCCACTCTCTCCATGTTTTTTTTCGTTTTGTATGTAAATAAAAAAGATGCTTTTTTTTACAAAATTAAGTGACTTTAGTGTCTGAGGGCACTTACAGGACACTCGGTGATGCTCTGCTCCCACTGGCTCATGCTGAGGCTCTCCTCCAGGGCTGTGCACCTCTTCAGCACCAGGTCCCAGCCGCAGTACGGGTCTCTGGCCCCCACGCAGCCCCTGCAGGCACACAGAGAGGCCCTCATGGAAAAGCGCCAGAGCCCAGCTTTGCAGTGGCATTTCCGATCAAGCTCTTACAGTAGATGATAACTGCTCAGCTGAATGGCATGTATGACACCAAGCAGCATGAACTGGCTTTCGGCACAAGAGATGCATTGAATTTACAGTACATAGCTTACTGTATGTGATGGGCAGGCCACATGTTAACTGAGTTAAAAGATTGTCAAAGGTAGACGACCCTCAAAAGTTCATTGATAGGCTTAGAACGTACCTGGCTTACAAATACATTTTCATAAAGCCGTCAAATATCTAGTTGGCTAGACCTCCTCTTAAATAATTCACGAATTGCCCTTCTACTGCTGCTAAGATCCAGAATTCTGAGCTGTGTTATTTAATTACCTGCCATTATTTCTCATTTTTAATGACGCAGAGTCTCTGAGAACTAGCATAACCAATCATTGTGGCTTGACTTTTATTCTGATTCAAAACAGACAAGGGCCAAAAAAAAAGACAATTCTACACTTTCACCTTACAGGCCTCTGCTCAGCAGCCTCTTTCAAATATAAAAATTCACCCTGAAGGTGTTGCTTAGCCACTTAGATTTCAACTTTAGCCATGTGCAGTGGCCCCACCATCCATCCTTAATAAAGGTTATTAATCAAGAGAGCTGGACATTTTCTGACAAAGATGAGTGAATACCTCTGCAGTCTGCAAAATTTATAGCACTCCTGCAGAACCTGTCTATGAGGTACACTGCTTTGTCTATAAGGAGTTATACTCTGTAAGGAGTATATCATTAACTACATGCTATATTTCTGAGGTTAAAGGTGCTGAACTTTTCTCAATTATAGATAAGGTCAATCAAGCTGCCATACGACAGGAAGAGGTTGGTTAGGTCTGGGGACAAGGCAGATCATGACTTAGCTGTCTCTTCACAACAACAGTTCAATAAGGTTTTAACTAATAGAGAGTCTACATGCACCACTCTACCTGTTTTTTGAAATCTCATTACTTTTTCTCATCACATACAATACAAAATCACCATGCCAATGAAGTGAGCACAGTTGGCTTGCAATAATACTAGTAATTCAGTCGACAGTTTAAAACGACAAATTTACAGCTGTTATATTTGCGCAGTAGTTAAAACGGTGAGAATTTTTAAGTGTGAACTCGAGCATGTTAAAACCAACACCCTACTTCAGAAATGCACAAGGCACGCATTTTGTTTCACGTTCTGTTTTTGTTGCAAACGCCCCTGATCCTCCTGCCCCGGACATATGATGTTCTGTGACAGAGGATTAGGGCCCGTCTGTGTTAATATAAACATGGCAGAAATGCAGCAGCATTCTGACAATAAGGAAATTACATGGGCTCCAGTGCTCTTGATCCTGTTCCAATGAACACTTTGCCCTTTATCTTCCATGGTGAGAGAAGGTTAAAGAGGACGAGAGTGTCCTGAGCAACACATTCCTTTTCACGTACTAAATCAGATTGGTACCCAGGCCACCCCCTCAAGTTCACTAATGGAAAGGTCATTTCATTATTTAAACACCTAGGAAACGTGAATCGTCTCATAAAGCTCAATTTGGCTAACCTTTTACAAGCTTTTACACACTTTATATCTGACTGCAAGCTGAGACACATATCCTGTGCCCACACAGTAGAGGAAAGAGGCGACACTGGTGCTCTTTATGATGAAGCTTCAGGGCCCTGCAGTAAATATGACAAATGTCACTGTTTCTGCAATGCAAATATATTGCATTTGCTACAGGCTACAATGTGAAATTGCTTGACTCTCCTGCACAAAAAAATGCACAAAAGCATCGTTTTATTCAGTCATGTCTTGTATTTTCATCTATCGTACTGTCAGAAATTACAATCTCTGATCTCACATTACCAGCCTCTCCACTGTTATCGAGGAACTGCTGTCTTCTGAATACGCTATTTATATTTTTTTCTGCCATATTTACATTTGCCACAGTGGGTTCATAAACTGAGTTTCAGGGTTGAATACAGTGCATCCTTGTGCCCGATCGCTGTGACAACTGAAAAGCTTTGAAAGACCACCATCTCACAGATTTCACCATCTTTCAACGCCTTGATCAGGGGATCACAAGTTAAATGGAAAACTACAGACTGCGGAGCTCATCTTTTAATCTCCTCACTTGATGAGCACGTTTCTGAAAAGTGCAAGTGGCTGCCTGCATATCACAGATACAAAATACAGACTTGGAAAGTATTTTGATTACCATTGCTATTATGGATTTGATCATTAATATTTTAAAAATACATATTAATTAGATCTATATCTAAATCTGGACTGGATCAGCGAATATCTTCTCCTAAACAGCAGAATCTCCCTTCACTGATTTGTGGTGCTGGTTCGGTATCGGAGGCTCTGTGATGCGAATGTGAGGCTCCTGGTCGTGAATCAGTTGTCGGAAGGCATGCGCGAGCAGGTCAGGTCCGCTTACTCCTGTGTCCTGTGGATGCTGCAGCGCATCAGTGGGATCTTCACCACCCGGTCCCTGAGGCCCACAAACAGAACACTCTGACTGTGCAGAATCAAGAGGCTTCGGATCGGCTGCCTCTTGCTGGGGGGGAAAAGTTCGATTTCGTCCAGCAAACAGCTGCTGCTTGACTGGTTCATGGGAGAGAGCACTTTCTTGATTGTTCCGTAGTCTGGCAAGATAAACAAAAAGCAAGGGCATTGAAAACGTTTCTCAGGCAGACAGAGAAAAACGAGCTCTGATGTGAGGCTCTGATAAAAAGGCACATCTGAGAAGCACAGCCTCCCCTGATGGACCACGACACACTTTGCCATTTACTAGTAGGCAGACTGAAACATCGATTTGCTACTGAGCTTTCAAAAATAAACAGAGGCTGTACAATTAACCATTCCTAGAAACACTGCAGTCCATGCTTAACTGAAAGGTCAGAGAAAAACAACAACGATAAAATACAGAACTTAAAAGTATTACCCACAGGAAAAATTATTTAGAGTGTGCTTACATTCTTCTATAGCTTTTATGAATCCATAAAGGTATGTTGATGTAAACGGTCTATTTTTGCATCTTTACTTAAATTAAGCATTCTATTATATCTTTTTTAAATTGAACCCTGGTGATTGTAATTCAGAATAGAAAGAGTTCTGAAAATAAAGAGTCCTTGTATTTTGTGCCTGTTCACTTTTTGGAAGATAATCTACTTAAAATAGCTAAAGTACCTCAATATCTATAACCATCATTAGGTTTTAAAGTACTAGGTTCCAGGCCCCAAGTAGTCTTACCATGGCTAGAGTGAAGGCATACCTGAGGCCAATTCAAATACAATTTCCTATTATTAGAGTGCCACTGCCATTGAAAAAGTGAGTCATTATCAGTCCATGTACATAAAAAATGCTGAAACTCGGTAACATATCAATGAAAGAATAAATGTACCTTCACACCGGTAGAAACTCTTAGTAATGCCCTTTGGGGCCAATATCTGCAACATAATTCCAGACCTCCTTTCCCAGATCCCATTAGTATCAAAGGACATCTAATTTCACGTTGGTAGGCCTCAATAAGATAAACAGTGATAGGCAGGCTCCAGGCTTCACAAGGACGCTTATTGCTAATATAAAGGAATAGGGAGGCCGAGTGGGACACTTTGTCACCACACAGTCACCAGCAATCAAGAGCCCTGTGCACAAAAACCTGCAGTCATGCTGGCAGCAGGGTTACCTGCAGAACACTTGGAGGTGTTTCTGGCTGGTAAACAGCCACTTCTAGAATTAGTACTTTTACAAAATTTCAATCAAGACGCTGCGTGCAAAGACCTATTTCAGTGTCAAATTCGGTTTGCACAGAACTGCTTTGAAAATTGTGTGTGTGGAAGTAATTTATGCTTTCATTTGCAGATAAAACATTAAAGGAAGCCTACTACTAGGGAATTTACATCAGCAGACGATTATCCACTTTTTTTCTATGTCTGCCTTCATGCTGTCATTGGTCAGACAAGCAGGAAGCCGTTGTGTTTGTGTGTATATAAAATATGCTTACAGCATAAGAATACACACTGACAGTATTGTTCCAAATATTGAGCTTAGACCATGCGATTTAGCAATAATATCTGGTTTTCTGGTGTTAATTGAGTTAAAATTTCCAAAGTGAGCCTGTTTAAACACCCATTCTGAAAGACATGATTTAAATTAATGCACGAATAGCAGAAGACACAAAGTCTTGCTTGAGTAATGAAGATCACCTGGTTGCTGTTGGTGTGTTTGAAGGCGCCCTGACTGGGACAGACGTTGTCCAGAGAATGAGATGTTTTGCTCCAACACTCAGCGGACAAGCACAGAGAAACCTGCCTGATCATGATGCCCCTGCCCTCTGTGCCACTGTGGACATAGGATCTTGTTCTTAAAATGCTGGGTTGGTTTTGCCTCAAATAATATGGTACCAAAAACTTCTAGAATGCTTCAGATTTCTGATTGCTTAGTAGCAAACTTTAAGCACATTTTTAGCAGTAAAGATTTTTAATAACTGCTTCTCTCTTACTACTAGCATTCCTGTACAAACATTGTCTCAAGTGTGCAGGGACTTGTGATTCTGTAATGGCACAGGTGATTTTGTTAGCAGCAACAAGCCTACAGCAGCAGTATAGCATGCGGCTATAACACTGTGTATGTAGCATAACGTAATACAGTACATACATTGCACATACACATACATAATGAAGAGTATTAATCTAAAATGCAGCAAAAAGGAAAGTAATTATTTTTCATAATTACATTTTCAGGTATAATGATTTTTTAAACAGAATTTACTGGCCTCCAACAGTTCCATATAGCTTGATGCATAAATAAATGTGCTAATTATCATGCTTCAGGCCTTTGAAAATGCTGGAATGTTAAAGGTTTGAGTCAGATTTTCCTTTTAATGCAATAAGCCAGTATAAACATTAATTGCTTCCACTGAGCTTGGTCAGCAAGTGATTTTTAATTTTCACAACTGCACTTTTTTATTAGAGTCTGGTTAGCTTTCTGAAATTAACACAAATGGTTGTAGTTTATGGTGCATTGATTTTATAGTCTAAACAATGAAACACATAACTTCCATGATGATGATAATGTCAAAGAAGAAATCTAAAACAGGCTCTGAAACCCAGAATAACAACCACGGACAGATATAGCAAGTTCGTGTTCGCCGCTGGCATTAGCTACCCAAGATCCTACTTACTTCCTGCCGTTCTGGTGTGGAAAACAGAGTCTGCTTCTCATTACTTTCCTGTCTGCTACTGACAGGTGACTGACTGCAATCCCATGCTGTTTACAAACGGGGCAGGTTACAGCAACAGGGAGCAAGAAGAGTTTGAAAAAGGATTGCCATACATATGGAAGGCACATGCCCTTTTGTAGAGATTACGTTTCTGTCAGAGAAGAAAGCTCTCATGTTTTGGAGTTGATACACATTAAATTATTCTGTTATGTCTGCAGAAATGTTGTGATAGGTAAGAAACCAAATCTCTCAAAGGCTTGTGTGGGATGTTCCTTCTCTGCTCTTTAAAAATGTGTCCTTTGCATATGTATGTAATTTAATCAAATGGTAAACACAAAAGGCCTGCCAACACAGGATAGATTTAAGGGACCACAATGAACTCAGTTTGCTCTAATAAACAAATGATTTAAACAGGGGTTTGAACTAATGTTACTGACTCACCTGTTTACATACACACAGATGTTCGGCAGCTAGATGTATTGTAAAAATTACAAATATACTGAATGGTTACCTTTGGAGAGATCTTCATTGGTCAGGTTCCACTTCAGATCTGTTAATTTGCTAGTTCTTAAATTTAGAAACACTCTTTCATCACAGTCTGTTTTACAAATCCCATTTCTTTTGGAACAAACATGAACATTATTTTGGAACAAGCAGAAAAACTGTTATCACCGATAGCGATCAAATGTTCAATCAGCTTGAAATTCAAATCCTGGCTCCATTACCGCTAATGCAGTATCACAAAGCAGATCAGTCTTTGGAAAACTGCATCCAGAAACAAACCCTTTAAAACCTATGATGAAATATTTGGCTTAAAATATTTTGTGTTTCAGTGGAATCAAAATTTATCAGGAAGTCATATTTCCAATTTATTAATGAAATGTCTGCAGCCACATATAATTTCATTCTTAATGAGCCTGTATTTATTGTTAAGTTGTTTCTGAATGACAAAAAACAGGCACTTGCATCAAAGTAAATTCACTGAGAAGGACAGCCGCATCGTGGTAAACTGATTTAGAAAGGACCGGTCACCTGTAGCGAGGTAGACGATGTGGAACAGCATGTCCTTGCCCTGCACCACATCCACCACGATGTGTGAGAAGCGGACGTTGTCCTCCATGAAGTAGGGGACGGGAGCCGCTGGCTGCACCACCTCGTGCATCAGAATGAACTTCTGCGCATCCTGCAGGTTCCTCTCCGTCAGGTTCCCGTTCGATCCGAAGTCTATAGTGCCACACTGGAGCGAAAAATAAACCCCCCTGTCATGAGATGAGGAGGTTTGGGTGGGGTCTTCGGGGTTATCTCATGCACTTTTGAAGCAGGGCTCAGACACGGACTCCCTGCCCATCCTGAGCCTGGCTCTGTAGCTGCAGTTGTAAGGTTCTTAATCAAGCTGATGTTACGGTTGGTTTGTTTAAAAAAAATAAAACAATATTCTACAGAAAAATGAACCAGGAGATCTTAGGAAGAATGATGAGGCACCAGTCTTCTGCAGCTCCCAGAGAGAATCTCTGCATCTTGACGCACAGGGGACTCCTACTCTGCGGAAGGCTGTCTAATGCCATGAAAAGTACATGACAAAGAGAATTCCCCTCATCTCATAATTTTAATTAACCAGTCATTATTTCCAAACACACGTGTTCAAAAACAGAATATTTCAAAAATATACAGTGTCTAACTTGTGTCACTGAGCTGCAGCTGTGACCGACAGAAACCCCAGTCTTTGCCCCTCTGGAATTCCTGGGAGTCTCCAGTCTGGATCGGCTTCTTCTCTTTTCCATCTTATAAGCAGTTTTAATAAACCTGCTAAGCCATTATAAAGTGCAGTACCCTTGCAGCATCATACCTTCCATGTTTTCAGGGCTTTGCTCCTTTTATCTTGATGCCTTACTCTGCTTTACTCAGATTTGTTTTTTTTTTACCCAAAGTGTAATGAGCTGCACCTTGATGCTGTAAATCAGTGCTCGCTTCTCACTGTCAGGCTTTTCACTAAAGATAGCCAAGCACAGATCTTTAAAAACATTTAATCCTGCAATTACAGATAAATCTCAATTAACATCAGAGGCAGCAGCTCAGGAGTGACCATTGCAAATCGTGCTCTTCCTTCCTGGAAGTCTCATCTTTCAGAGGCAAGTCTGATGGCAGGTTTCTTATCACAGCACGGTCTCTCATTCTAACATCACACTGCAGACAGCCAGGAGTTTATTTCCTAGGTAACAGTGTCAGGCATCTATTGAGTTTAATTGCATCATGTAACTGTCTGATATTCTAAAGAAAAATAAACTCTGATGTAATGCCACATAATATTTCATTACTCTTGAATTTGCAGATATTACATGATTATTGCCGAAAAAGAATATGCACAGGAGTCAGGGGCCACAATACTGCGTTATTTATCTGGGCCTACAGGAAAATGTCATCTGAATTAACTGTGAAAAGTATGTGTGAATAAGAGATTTTTCCAATATGTTTTTGTTTTAAATAAATCATTATTAAAGGTCTATATATTATATTTAAGATGTTAAGAGAAATTCTGTGTTGTGCCAATAGACAACAGTGAAAACCACTTTTTATTATCTATTACAGCCTAAGGGTGCAAAGCCGAATGAGAGCAAAGAATTTATTTGAAGAGTTTTGCCATACAAGCTGTGAACAGAGAAGAGTGACAGTTTTGTAATTCCAGAGCAGAGGAAAACAGATTTTTGTTCAGCACTAAACCCTCATACACATACACCTCTGTCATGAGTTCCGAAACTGTAACTAAAATTGTTTTACTTCTCATTTTATTTTTTATTGATTTTATTCAATGAATCTTTTTAATTTTTATGATGGGAAGTGCAGGGGATGCCTAATTGAACAACTAATTGAACCAGCTGAATAGCTGTGTCGTAATCAGTGTCTGATTCAGAACAACCGCACTTCGTCATATCAGTGTCATGCCTTCTATGTCTAGAGGGCGCTCCTATGCTGTCCTGTTCCTAGTCTCCCTGTGCTTTGCTTGTCCTTCCGGTGTGTCTTTGTGTGAGGCTATATATTTCCAGGTCACCCATTGCTCCTGGCTCAGCATCAAGGGTTCGGGTGTCTTGAGACCCGCCTAGCACCAGGTCGTCTCTTCTGCGGCCTGAGGGCATAGGTTTCTTTACCGACATCATCTGACCTCCTCAGCCTCGGCTAACCTCCGTGTAGCATAGGGTCTTAATTGCTCTCCTGGCCATTCCATGGCATGCCTTTCTGTACAATGGGTGAAGTTCTTAGTCTATGACTCAGGAAGTATTGATCTTTAGTAAATGGCATGTAATGGAAGAGTGCTGGGTAAGGAGGGACTTAAAATCCTCAAATGTTACTAAGTTGAAGCAGTTCATCAACAAAACAAAATTCCTACACAGCGATGTGAGTGACTGATCACCAATTACAGGAAGTGTTTGGTTGTAGTTATTGCAGCTTAAGATGTTGCAACCTGTTACTGAATCTAAGGGGTTGTTAATGTTTTCCCACAGGGACACTGGGTGTTGGAAGACTGTTTCTGGTGCTATTTGGTGTTATTTCTTCACCCAGGCTCATATATTTACTGTATAGTTTATTATTATTATTATTATTATTATTATTATTATTAGGACCCACATGAAGCTCTGACAACATTCAGTGGGGAAAATATGCTAAAATTCACAAAAAGTGAAAGGGGGTGAATACTTTTTCATAGAACTAACTCTAGGATTCTTTATTCAATTCTTTTTAGTAAGCATAGACCTTTAATATTTCTACTGTATGCTATGCCTTACACCGCCTGAAAAAAACTAAGCAGAGGGAAAACTAAGCTCAAGACTATATTGGTCAAATTATGTTGCCTGGAAGTCTCTGGCTCCTTTAACAAATACAGTAGATGCAGGCAGAATTATTTCCTTCTTTACGTCAGTAATTTGTATATATAGAGTATCAACAGTATTATATTTTCATTTTTCTTGTAAAGTACGTGCTAGTGGGTGTATATTTTGGGGGTGTGGGTGTCATAGAATGGGAGTGCACCTTCATTTTACATTGTACTGGGCGCTCCACAGCCTCTCTCCCAGGCACTTTGACACAGTCCTTTCCCATACCATACACTGCTCTAAAGCCCTTTTAACTCTCCGTCGAGCTCCATCATCGGCTGTTGAGTGGAGAGTGACAGCCGTTAGTCCAGAGTGGATTTTCTCCTGACTTAGTGGCCATTCAAACTCCTTCTTTCATCTCTGCTGTTGATACAGGACTGGACAATGGCACCTCCTCACATTCACTCCCTCACTCCCAGGCTTTCTGAAGCCAGTCTTGTAAACGAAGGAAAGCTGCCATTAACTGTGCATCGATTTGATGACCTCCCTCCACTGGAGTGGAGACAACAGAAATCTTTTTATATTATCCCTGAAGCAGAAAGGATGGCAAAGCTTGAGGGCTTGCAGAATTAAACCACAATAGCACCTAGCCAGTGTAAGAGCACTGTTTGAACTGCAGAGTGGTACTACTGCATTTTCCCTTGAATATCTAAGACTGACTCTAACACCATCCTTCAGGCATCTGGGTGAGTGAATAGCCTTTACACTTTAAAATGAGTATTTTTTGGTAACTGAAATCACTTTGGATATGATTGGTGTCGCTTTATGTACTATAAATGTTCAACATACACACAAAATTGTTTTGCGTTTTCCTTCTTGGCATGACCTGGGTGAGTAGAATGGCGGTTTCAACACCACAGGTATCGTGTCCTCAGAACTGATGTGTTCTAAGTCACTGTAGGCTGCTATGAGTGAGTTCAAAGTGTTGTGGGGTTCTCTAGCTCTGTCTTGCATGTTTTGAATGGTGGCTCTGTCCTCAGAAGCAGTCTGCAGCGTTCACCCTGATGTGTTGACCCAGCAGGAGCGCTCGGAGGTGATGCCTTTGTACCACGCTAGTCCTTGTATCACCTGGCCCTCCGGTGGCTCCGCGAGGAGCAGAAAACACGCTTACTTGGAAAGGGAAGCTTCAAGCATGGGATCACCTCCCAGATTCTCCTTATACTCAGAGCTGATTGTCAGATCAGAAGAACCGAAATTGATGAGTAGTACCATCGCCCTACTCTCCAACCTCACAGCCCTCGCTCTTCTAATGCTGGTCTCCTATCTGTCCCCCAAGCCTGTACGATAGATAGATAAGACTTTATTGATCCCGTAGGGAAACTGATGTGTCAATATAGTCTGTACTCTATGGGTGATGATGCGCCCCAAAGCTCTAGAACTCTCTCCCCAAGGATATCAGAGAGTATCCTTCTCTAAACTTCAAATCCAGACTCAAAACCTTCTTCTTCAGAAGAGCCTTTACTTAACTAGTTCCGTTCTTTACCTCTCTGCTCCTGCTGTATTCAGTACCCCCATCTACTGTCTACTCTAACTGTGTATTCGCATTGTGCATATCTTGTGTATTTTTTTATTGGTGTTATCATTCTGTAAAGCGCTTTGAGAAGCCACCTTTAAAAGTGCTATATAAAATAAAGTTTATTATTATTATGATCGAAAGAGTTAAAAGCATTAAATCAAAGTTATTATTTTCATTGAATAAGGAATGCCAGAAAAAAACCCAATATACGGTAGTGTTTAAGACGAATTCCATTGATTATTATTTCAGAAAAGACACACAAATCTCAAGTAGATTACAATAATGGTTATCAGTATATCAGTTTATCATTAAAATGTAAGGGGGGTGCAGCACGTACAGTACAACAGTTTGTGTCTTTCAGGTCAACTGTAATTTCCTTGGGTAGCTTTTGAAGTGAGTGTTAAAGTTAACTCCAAAACCCATATTATATTGAAGCTACATGCTGCAATCCTCCGCATATCAACAATTTTCTGTGGATGAAATCATTCATTCTCTCATCAATATTTGAATAACTGCAAAGCGTAAGATCTTGCTCCTCACTTATTGTTTCATCGTGTGATGATTTGCAATCTTAATTATTTAATAGTTGTGTAGCTGGGATGTGTTATTTGATACTTTCCATTAACATGACAAGGCCGTTTGTTCTCTTAACCAACTGTCAAAAGCTTTATGTTCACTAGCTGTTCTGGAAATTAGCAATAAAAAAATGGTCTTCACTTCAGATCAATAATAACAAGCAGCATATATTTTCTTAAAACAATGTTTCTATTTTTCCCTTTGCACGCGGTAAATGTAATGTCACATTTTAAAATTAAAGTAAAAATATTAATTTGAGTTTGAGTGAAGGAAAGGGGAAATTAATTTGATATTTTTCCCAACAAGAGCTTGTATCAGGTTGTAGAGGTGTTTTTTTTTTCATCTGTAATCAAGGATGCATCAGATGAATTAAAACAGAATTTAATAAAATCAGAGCGGTACTTGAGAATAGCAGGGTAGTCGATTTTGTTTAGACGTTGTCAAATGCTGGACTGGTGGTTATAGGATAAATCAGAAACCGAACAACACCGACAGACCGAACACTGACAAATGTTGGCACAGCCTAGATGAAGTATGGTTGAGTTTAATTTTAATTTTTCTTTTAATTTTATTTTCTTTTCCTGCTCGGAAACACTTTGAGTGCCCACTTTCACTCCTTGGCTGATTAATTTAAGATTTTCATGACTGCTGTCAAAACTGTCTCCCGATCCCTGCTGATACAGGCAGAGGAGTACAGATAGGAACCGAAGGGAAGCAGGTCCAGCTTCTTCTGTTTCCAGTGGGTCATGGTGAGAATTAAACCTCCTGACTAGCCTGCACAGGGTCAATCCAGACACTGGCAGCAGTTTATAGTGGGTCGTCCCTCTCATTGCTACACAAAGCAGTGGCACAGACAAATCAGACTTCCTCAACCGTGGGTTTCTTATCTCAGATCAATAAAGTGTATAATTCCATAATTAATTAATGTTTCACTAAAAAAACAGCAATAGAAAACTCCCAGCAACTGACATTTCAGTGAAATAATAGCACAATAATTAGATTAATTACACAGATCACAAACTGCGATTATCAGTATTTGCAAGAAACACTCAGTCCTACAGAGATTTAAAATACAATGTAATTTTTTTTTTACCATTACTGTACTCTTAAATTAGAAAGTTCAAAGAGTTCAAAGACTGCAAGTACTACTACTGCTACTAATGTTAAAGTTACATGACAACCTATACACAAAGGGCACCCACTAAGATTTTATAACTACTGTACATAGAGGATTTCAGATACAGACAATTTCTATAACACAAATATGTAGAAAAATCTATAGTTAGCTGACAGTAAAAGAAAATTTGACAAATGCTGCAAGTGATAGGTTAGTAGTCCAACTGTTTAATTTCAAGTTATCACAGTACAAATAACAGGAAAACGGTAATCAGAAAATAGATAATACCACCAAATTCATTGATTGTACTGCATGGATGTAATTAGTGAAGCTTCTCCTTCTTTATGTCACTTAAATTGCTCAATACTCTTCAGATGTTTGGTCTGCTCTATTTGCAAGAGTGTAAAAAATAGAACGAATAAACTATTGAATAATAAGAAGCAAAACTATCGAACTAACTGAAAAAAATGCATGCATCCCAGAACAACAGGGAGAGTGAGATATTTCAGCTGTCTTACTATATTATTAAATATGGTCAACTGATTTAGCACTAAGAGTCAGATGAACAATTTTGTTTTCAAGATCCAAAGGTCACCAGAAAATGGTTTAAGTCTGATAAATATTGCAAATATTCCAAAGACTTTCTGTAAGGGTCACAATCAGGTAAAAAAAACACACATTCCTAAATAGAATCACTAAAGTTTAGAAAAGAAATATCATTCATCAGACAACCACCACTTTCTTGTTACTTTTGCAATGCAGTTTCCAAAACATCATCCCCTACAAGAAAGCAAAGCTAATTTTCCACCCAGTCAGGAATTCGCAAAACATTCTCAGCAGCTCCTTCAATAGGCAGCACCTCGTCATTGAAAACATGCAGCTGGGGAGACGTACCTGGAAGTCGGGGTTGGGGTTGGGGTAGGGCAGCCAAGCGGACCTGGAGTTCTCCTGGTATTTGAACGGGCCACTGAACGCCTGGGTCACGGCGCTGAGGTTGAAGACGCAGACCGCTGAGGCAGCGATGCTGTTCCTGGAAGACAGAACGTGGTCAGGCCCAGGTGGCAGATACAGGCGCCTTCTCCCCAGCAGAGTCTGTGCAGCACAGCCTGCTGGCCCCACCAGCTGCATGAACGTGCCTACAAGCCCCACCTTGCCCTGCCTGTCACATCTGTCGGGTCCTCAACACGTGTTTCAGAAGGTTCATTTTAGATACTTCATTCAATTTTAATGTAATGTGGCTAATAGGTGCATAGAAAGTTACATTTACTGTCTAGGAGCACACATCACTACGTGAAGAATCTTAAAAATCTACAATTGAATGTAATTTCATTGGAAGTCCTTCTTTTCTTATGGATCAAATCTGTAATCTTTCTTTTAAAATTTAAAAAGAGGATTCCAAGGAGGTTTGATTAAGAAAGCCATTCTTCAACACATAACTTGTCTGCCACTTTGTCTAGGGAAATGTCCGGGGAGGTGATTAATGCCTATGAGATAATGACAATCACCAATAAACAACACGTCATATTATATACCATTAAGAACAGCGGAATAGCAGGGTGACAAAGGACGCGTCACTATTGATTTAGTCACCCGAAAAATAAACACAAAGAAAATAAATTTATTGTGCAGCAATCCTTAGTATACATAAATACATTTCAGGTGGGGACTTGCATCGGCATATGTAGGTTGCAAAGGAACAATAGGTTTATTCCATGCTGAAAAGAGAAGAAAGAAAACACAATGTTGTGTTTTCTTTCTTCTCTTTTCAGCATGGAATTAACCTATTACTTGTTCTATAAATACATTTCTAGAAGCACGTAAGCCCACGTACACATTAGTGGTGAAGATGCCGTAGATGAGGTCCAGCTCAGGCAGGAGGAAGGTGCCCTGCAGCTCGTTGTAGTAGAAGGGGATCTCTCCCGGCCGTGAGCAGTTCAGCCGCGCCTTCATGAAGGTGGTCCAGGTGTCCTCCAGCAGGAAGCGGCCCCCCACGTCGTTCTTGCACACCCGCGCTGCCCGCGAGAAAATGGTCTTCCCACAGTCGTGCTCCACCGCGTTCTCCCGGAAGAAGAAATAGGTGAAATTCCCGATATCGTAAGAGGACACGAAGTTGGGCTCTGCAAGGAAGACAATGTATCAAAACAAACGGTTACACAAGACCTGTCTGCTATCCTCAACACAAAAAAGTAAAAGCCTATAAATACTGTTCTGACTGGATTTTAATAGTATATTTCTACTATTTAAACTCAATAGTTTATTGTTTTAGTCATTCTAGAACTTTCTAAGATAATTCTAAGTTAAAGTTTTAAATGTTATTTTCACACAGTCCTCTGAACAACATGAAGAAAAATCAATAAGTACAGAAAGAATACTGAACCTTTTCCAAAAGACAGTAGCACATACTTTTTTTCAGTTTAAATTTAATTCAATTTTCTTTTAATGTTTGGCAGATTTTATTTTTCACTAAAAATTGTCTCACATTCCCTTTTTACAGCACAAATAAAGGAATTTTAAAGTATAGATGCTGAACAGGATGTGAGATAATCCAGCTACACTGTGGATAGACAGTAAGACAAAGGTCTCAGACCTAGATGTTTCTGGGTCTTAGTATCTACTGCTGTTGGTTCCACCTGAGCTCCCAGTTACATACTGTAGATGGTCTATTTTTAATAAATTGCATTACTCTTATACTTCTTATGATGTTCTTTTGCCTTTTATATGTAACTGTCCCTTGTATGATCTTGTACTTAATTAACTATAAATTATAATATTTAAATATGTTAGATATGGTTTAATTGACTAAATTGAGTAACTAGGTCGGAACAAACTCCAGCAGCCCAGTGTGATAGCAACGATATGAGATCTACAGAGATTATTAAGTGAAAAGTCAGACTTAGCCCCTCTGAAGAGCATTAGCACTGAGGAAAAAAAACACCTCTCAACATACACACAAATACTCATTTTACTACTCAGATGTTTTAAAAGGTCTTCTTTGTAGTAAACCACTAATCCTCTGGCATTATGCTACAAAGACCATTTCACTGCAGTCGCTCTAGAGTGGGATATGTCTATAGAGAGCTGTAAAGGGTGAAAGAACATGTTCCATGCAGGGCAGTGCCAGAGCCCCGCTGGTGTTTTTCTTGACAGTGGCAGCATATGGTACAAATATTCACCCTGACTTCCAAATATACACACTGACTTATTGAAAAATCACAGCCACATACCAGTCCTCAGTCACACGATTGGCCCTCTCTGGGCCAGCCAGCCTGACAGCCTGAGAGGTATGAGGATCATTAATCTCCTGTTTAGAAGGGACATTCCAACAACATTTCCATCCTCTGAACATCTCTTTTACAGGTACAAACAGGTGTTTGAATTTAGACACTAACCCCGCTAAACACAAAGTTGGGGATAAGAGGAGACCACAGAGGGTTTTGCCATTTGTACACAGTCTTCACAAGCGGGAAGGGGTGTTCATCAGTACCAGCTTTGATACTACACACACTGAAACACAACCCTACACAAGTCAACTAACTGCAAACGGAAGCCAAGCAGAATTATAGAGGTGCAAACACCAATTACTTCTCAATAATCAGAGACAAATGCAATTCAGACTGAAAAGGATATTGAAAAAGTAGGATTGCATGTTATTTCCTGGTTGTAAAACATGTGCATGGCTTAACTGAAATTGATTTTGTGAGAGTTTTTTTACATACCATGAGTTGTTTTTATGGTTGCAGTAGGCACTATAATTTAAAATGTATTAAATGTTTGGTCTCTGAATCTCACCTACAAGGCGATGTGGCAGACTGCTGAAAAGTGCACCGTATTCATCTTGAAATCCAGTACAAGTACAATTCCAGCTGCAGGCTGATCTGCCTCATCAGAGAAATGAAATTCATCTCTCGAACACATTACTGTTATAACGAAGAAACCTCCTAAGGACTCAATTCACGTAAGCTACGGCAGAGCCCTTTTATTCTGTGGACACTGGTGGAATTATAACTGTGTTCTGCAATGTTCTCTCTGGGGCCTCTTTCCTTTCTTCAAGTAAAACGGGAAGCATTCACGTGATAATGAAAGTCTGAGGTTATAGCCTGGACTCAAATGATGCTGAAGCAAAAATGAAAAAAAAAAACAACAAAATTAAACAAAAGGAAGAGCAGGCAGCCATCCTAGCAGTGCTGGCATTACCATATTTATTACATTGCTCCTCAAGGTTTAGTGCTGAAATCATTTCCTCTCGGTGAAGGTGTGCTCCTTATACCACTGTGCACCCATGGTGTTTACATTCATTGGACCTGCTCAGTCTGTCAGTAAAACTTTAAAATTGTCTGTTCCTAACTGCCCCTTTCTCCATGCAGATAAAGAAAGGTGAGGATTTTAATGCAAATCCACCAAAAATCAATTCAGATTTTAAAGTACATCAAAACACTGAGCATTTTCCTTACATTTCACACAAGCCCTGTACCAACCCATCTGACCTAATGTGATGTTTCACTCAAGGTCTACTGGCAAAACTGCGAACTGGAGTCTTGTGGGCTTGATAGGGGACACCAAAGTTCCCCTCAGGTCTTTCCAATTAACATCAACAAGGAACCTCAGTGCCTTAAAAAACTGCCGCCTCGCAAGATCTATTACAGAAACGTTTTAGATGATCAATCCAGTACACTGCATTCATAAAAGCATTTAAAGTGGCAAAGTATCTCTGGTTCAATACAAAACATGACAGAAAAAATTAACAGGCTCAAGATATTACATACACTGTACTGTATATAAGAGGCTTTATGCTGCTACTGTATGTATTGACTTTGCACCTGCTCCGCTGTGCCTGTAAACCAATTAGGTTTTCTTTACATTGTTAGAAAATAAAAAAGGTTACAAATGAGTTAATTTATTCAGCCAGCACTGGAGGCCCTCTTTAATCAACCACAAGAAAACAAATATAAATTCTCAAGAAAAACATTGCAGTAAGTAATATCGCAGGTCTTACGAAGGATTTGTTAAAGAGGATGCAAATTAGTTTTACTTGAGCTTGGGTGCACATTAATTGCATTGTTTATTTTTTCACGTTCAGAATCTCATCCAACAGCCACTGAAACAGCTTCAAGAAGAGAAAGAGGAGTGTGGGAGACCATCGGACACTAAACCACATGCACCTAACGGCTTGGAAAACTCTTTCCCCTCCCCACGTCATACTCAAAGAGGCTCCACAGCTGGCACACTATACTTTTCCCACTTTCTCTTTCCATCATGCTACTGACTAATTCAACGTAATTCAGTGTTGACAATTCTCACAGTGAGCAACATCTCTATTTCTCAGAGCCACAGGTCCCAGGAGATAGCATGTGCTCATAGCCCTGCCCCAGACTTTGCCAAGCCTGCCTTCTGCCCTGCCTTCTCCCCGCCCTCATCCTGCCACTTGTCCCGCCTCCAGCCTGGCTCTTTGTCTTGTCCTCGCCCCACCCATTACCCCTCCCCATGCCCCACCCATTCCCTCACCCCTGCCCCTCATCCCACCCATTCCCACACCCTGCCCCTTGTCCCACCCATTCCCACACCCTGCCCCTTGTCCCACCCATTCCCTCACCCCTGCTCCTCGTCCCACCCATTCCCTCACCCCTGCTCCTCGTCCCACCCATTCCCTC